GTAAAAAAAAAAAAGAATTAGGGACCCACTTTTATGTCCCATTTAACACTAAAAAAAAAAAACAACTTCTTGATAATGAAATAGTAGAGAGTCTTAATTCATCTGGCCAAACATATCATAAGGTACAAATGATAGTGGATGAAGGAGGAAAACATATAATTAGCCTAAAAAATTAGGATAATACATGTAAAAGGTTTTTCAGTTGGCTGGGATGCTTTTTCCCCTTAGACTTTTCCTTGTCTAGTATTAGACATTTTCTGTTCTTAATCACTGTTATTGGTTTAATATTGTTACTTTTGTTCCTGATATGTAAATGTTATATTAGATGCAGAAAAGCAAAACTTAAGACAAACAGTAAAAAGACTAGGATCATGGTGGCTCAAAAATTAGAAATGATCCAGAATACTTTTTAATAAGGACATATAGGATATGACTGGTGAAAGGGCGAGGGCTACGCCCTCCATCTTGCCCCGAATCTTCCATTTTTGGGCAGAGCCATGTGCTCGGCAAGGCTTCTACCCGGAAGCCCAAGCCTCTGCTAGCCACACCCAGGATTTCTCTAAACTAACCAATGACAATCAATGGAAGTGCACACCATAGATATGACCACATCCTGTGTAGCGAGACACCGACTTGCACCTGGCCAATCAGCAGGGCCCACAGTCCCCTCTCCTCCCCTTACTCCACCCCCCTATAAAACTTCTTTTCCCACTGGGCTAGCTCTCTTGGCCACTTGCTGCTGTGCCAGTAAAGAGGGTAGGGGAGCCAAGCCCGGGTTTGAATAAAAGACTCTTTGCTTTTGCATCGGACTCGGCTGGCTTCCTGGTGGTGGTCTTATGGGGATCCTGAAATCTGGGCATAACAACTGCCTCCCATTTACCTGTCTTTTTAAAAATATATAATAATAATCATTTGACTTTAAATGCCATCTAAGGTTATGGTCTTGCCCCATCCCCAGTGGTCCAGCTGTTCAGCAAGACATGCTGACACATTGCCCTGACTGGTTTGGCTCAGTGGCTAGACCCTGCAGACTGAAGGGTTCCAGGTTCGATTCAGGTCAAGGGCTTATACCTTCATTGCTGGCACATCCCCAGTGGGGAGTGTGCAGAAGGCAGCTGAATCAATATTTCTCTCTCATCGATGTCTCTAACTCTCTATCCCTCTCCCTTCCTCTGTAAAACATCAATAAAATATATTTTTTAAAAATAAGTCATAGGAAAAGGCGAATTAATATTCACAAAATAGCCCTCTTCTCCACCTAATCATTAAGAGCCTTCCTCATGGAAAATCCACATGCTTCTTCCTCACACACATGCTGACACTGAGACATCCTGGGAATGAGCTTCCTAGCACCATGGGACTCCATTATCCAACCAAAAGGTTGGTCATCAATGCATCCTTTGGATTGATTTATGACCAAAAGGGGGTCGGGGCCACATGCTGACCTGACAAGGTCAGGGGGGCCTGCATGGGCAGTCTTGCAAACTCAGAGACCTAAAGTAACCACAAAGGATGGTCTGAAATTAAACTTTAACTACAAACAGATTACGGTGGGTAGTTATGTCCTAGACCAGTATTTTCCCTTACAAAGATCAACTTAGATCTTTACTGAGGCCATTTGTCTTTTTGCATCTAAGATAACATACCAGTGAAATGTCTGGGTAACTTGTAACCTCCCCGCCCCCCTCCCGCTTACCCCCCACCCCCAGACTCCTCAGGGCAACCAATGGCACCAGGACATTCCCCATTGTTATTGTTATCAAGTTAATTGTCAACTGTTAATTATGTTAAACTATCCTGTACCCATCTGTGTAAGACAATGGTGGGCAAACTCATTAGTCAACAGAGCCAAATATCAACAGTACAACGATTGAAATCTCTTTTGAGAGCCAAATTTTTTAAACTTAAACTA